CAGGACAGCGCTCAGGCCAGAGTTCAAGCCCCACAACCGACCAAAAAAAAAAGAAGAAGAAGACAAGAAGTAGTCTCACAGAGTTTTCTGTCTCATTTGACTTTGAACTACAGTACTCAGATCTCACCTCTCCTTGTAGCTAGGATAACAGGTGCCAGCCACCAGCACCTGTGTGTGTGTGTGTGTGTGTGTGTGTGTGTGTGTGTACGTGTGTATGTGTATGTATGTATGTGTCTATGTATATGTGTATGTATGTGTGTATGCACGCGCGTGCGTGCGTGTGTGTGTGTATTTTTGTTGGTCTGGGCCTGGGTGCTGTCCCTCAGCTCTTCAGTTCAAGGCGAGCGCTCTACCACTTGAGCCACAGCGCTGCTTCCAGTTTTCTGGTGGTTTATTGGAGATAGTCTCATGCACTTGTCTGCCTGGGCTGGCTTTGAACTGTGATCCTCAGATCTCAGCCTCCTGAGTAGCTAAGATTACAGGCCTGAGCTACTGGCACCTGGCAATGTATTTATTTTAAAAGCCACAGATGGGGGATGGGGGTTTAGCCCAGCGGAAGGGCGCCCGCCCGGCGCGCGCAAGGCTCTGGGTTCAGTCCTCAGCCCTGGAAAAAAAAAGCCACAGATGAATGATTATCAAAAGTTGGTCAGCTGGATGTGGTGGTACATGCTCATAATTCTTGCATTTGGGAGGCTGAGGCAGTACGATCTCAAAGATCTGGAGTTCAAGGCCAGCCTGGGTATAATAGGAAACCTTGTCTCAAAATATGATATGCTAGATGTTTGAAAATACACGAATGTCTTATGGACACGAGCTGCTGTTTCGTTTCTAGAACAATGGTTGCCAGGCCTCCTAGCAAGGCATTTAGTTAGATTCCATGGTTTAATGCAACATACCTATGTGTATTGCCCGTGTACATATGCACAATCCCGTCTGGAGGGTTTCCTCAAAGCACACATAAGGAGTGATCCTTAGCACGTAGAGAGGTGAATCTGTGCCTTTTTTTAAATTGTAAAGATAGGGCTGGGAAGGTGGCTCAGTGGTAGAGCGCTTGCCTTGCATGCATGAGGCCCTGGGTTCGATTCCTCAGCACCACATAAACAAAAAGAAAAAAGCTGGAAGTGGCGCTGTGGCTCAAGTGGTAGAGCCGCTAGCCTTGAGCTGAAGAGCTGAGGGACAGCGCCCAGACCCAGAGTTCAGGCCCCATGACCAGACCCCCCCACCCCAAATAAATAAATAAATTGTAAAGATGCTGTACAGAAATGTTACAATTACGTGAGTAAAGCAATGCGTACAATACTTGTTGATCATTGTTACCCCTTCCCTTGTTGTTGTCCCACTCTCCCCTCCCTCCCCCACTGAATCTGTGCCTTTGCATATGCAATCCCCAGTGTGGACAGGGTTAGAATACCCAGGGAAAAGTGCGCAACAGCCTGGCTGCTTCATTGCCCTCCAGTGCTCCTCACCCTGCCTTCAGGTGTGCCATTGAGGTGGACAATGTGCTTCCTGAGCAGTCCCCCTAAAGCTTTCTTTGCATGCATCAGTGGGCTACCTTGTGTCTCCACTCTTTGGAGGTAGTAAATCTCTGGATTTGTCATCTGATGTTGGCACTGTGGGTAGAATTGTAAACACCCAAATATATCAGCTTCAGAGCTTGGGGTGATGAGGAGTACTACAGAGACACAGTCAGCATGCCCCTGTTTACCATGATCTCCATGATGAAGGCTCACATATCGGGGGGAGGATGAGCTCACAC